AATTTGCCGCACCCCAGGACGTAGAACTACCAAACGAACCCAATTTCATAAATGTCAAAGCACATACAAGCATAGTTCTCATTTTTTTTGTATTTAATCCTCAATACATAAAAAACAAGTGCACTACGGAGATCGTTTTTCTTACTTCAAGAAAGCAGAAAGAACGAAATCGTAGTAGAGGATTCAGTTGATTGTAGGTGAAATAAACTAGCCCTATAACATTTAACAATGCGGGGTCAACCTATTTGGGCTCTTAATAAAATATTCGGAAATCCGAAAATCGAAACGCATTATACTTGACTGTTTCATCTGTAAATGGCAATTTCGATATTCTAAATACTCATTTAATATCCAGATTTCCAGACGAACATGTTTCAGAAAAATTATAAATTAATTAGAAAAATGTCGAAAATGTAACTGTAATTTATTTTCCTTATCACTATGTTGAGACTCGCCATGTTGTAAAACATGCTCACAAAGGAACTGGGTTAAAACATAAATTAAACAGCGACCCATTAACAATTGAAGGGGACAAAGGCTTTACTGAAGGGTCACTTGGCTGTTGGCAAGGAAAATGCTGTATCTTTCAAATTCTGCTTAAACTCGAGCATGCTTATGTTTAACTTAACGAAGGTTTAAAACAGGTTAAAGTGCGCTTAAGTGCTAGCTATTAGTTGATATTGACATAGAAACATGTGGAATTAAACCTTGATATTTTAATTTAGAGAGTATTAAGTTTTAGTGCGTATGTTTCTCTAGAAGCTGGGGGGCCCGGGGGTAAAAAAATCAGTAGTGGAACACGACCGTGTTTGTACGTTTGCTAGTTAGTTTAATTTTGTCTAAGTTATAAATTTAATTTAGTTCATAGCTTTTTGTGCAACTTTTAAATAGATAGTTTTTATTATTTATTAATTTCATACTAAGGTGACCATGATGATAATGTAGCTGTCTAATACTTAGTCTTTTAGTCTTATACTTAGTACTAGATTACGATAGAAATCTTTAGAAATTTCTATTAACAGCAACGGGAGCTGTAAAAAAATAGCCATAAAATGTCTTTTATCGCATACGCTGCGGAAGTAAGTTAATGATAGGACAAAACATTTTTTGACAATATTATAAAATATATCAATATATACAAAAAACATCCCGAGACCATATGTCTAACTATTGTAGTTACGTCACTATAACTACTTTTTAACTTTTAACAAATCGATAGAAATGCCGATCAAAATGAAACAGTATTATCCATACCGTTTATGAATTTTTTTATTGAAATAAATTATAATTTTTTAATAATATTACAAATGCGAAAGTAACTCTGTCTTTACGGCTTTAACTCAGAAAATACTGAACTGATTTAAGTGAAATTTGGTACATAGATATTTGAGAAAGGACACAGGCTTTTTATAGCCAAATAAGGGTTGGTAGGGGTTGAAAAAGGGGATGAAAGTTTGTATGGAAGATATGGTTTTTGAAGCTAGAACAATGAAATTTCTTCTTCTTCTTTGGCTTTTTGGGAATAGGAGTGGGAGTGGGAGTGAGAATAGGAGCAATGTAGTGAGAGTTTGGGCAAAGTAGCACTTACAACAAAGATGGCTGCCCTAAATGCGCCCTTACATAAACTAAAAAACAGCCTAAATAATTAAAAATTTTACCCCAAATCACTATTCCACGCGGACGAAGTCGCGGGCTCAGCTAGTACTATATATTATATAATATTAAAGTGTATAAATATTATTAACAAAGCAAGTAATAAAAGCATCGATGTCGGTGTATCGATTCTATTTAAAAGGTATATAGAGATAAAGTTTGTGTAACACAACTAAAATAATAGATGGCAAAACTGTTTGTAGTTAACATTTTTTTTCATACTTACTTATTTTTACTCTATATATAAATTTTAAAGATTTAAAACGCGCTTAGGCAGAAATATTTAACGGTAACAATATTATGCTGGATAAAAGCGATATTTTGTTTTTCTTTTACCTCAATCCATTTTAACTAAGCCCATGCTTACGCTATTAAAAAGAATGAAAATTTTTTGTCCATAAACGTGAATAACGAGCGGCTCATTTACACATTTCCACATAAAACTTTGGCTGCAAATTTTCACACGGCGATAGTTTAAAACCATTAAAATAACCCAAAATAATGGCCCCAAATTAATTCTCACAGGAAAATTCACAACTGACGCAGGGCACAGACTAAACGAAACAGTCAAACCAGGGGATCAAATATCTATTCGACACAAGACTCACGTCGTCATTACTAGCGGAATAGTAATTAAGTTTGAAAAGAAAAATCTATTATCGATAAAAAAAAAAGAAACACAGGACTTGAACCGCTATCCACAGCCTGGAATGTTGTTCTAAACAATTGCAGGATTGTGTTGTGTCTAAAACTTTTTTTATTTTAAAATCGACTTTATTTTGTTTAGTGCCATCATGTTCAATAGAATGTAAAAAAAAAGTTTAGAAATAAAATTATGTAGACACGAAAAGCGACATTTCTTATGCATGTATTACAAATACACCCTCGATTGTTTTTTATTTCTCCGTCTTAGCATATGATGTAATTGTTAAATGTTGTTTAAGAGCTGTTTTAAATAAACTATGACAACCCTTAAAAAACCATTAAAAATAGCCCCGAAATAATAGCTCAATATTAATTCTCCGAGCAACAATAAATCCGTCGATGAATGTAATGACCTTATCAGGTGGTAACGTAATTAATGATCCGTATAATCGCTTAGGAGTTACGACAAATTGTTCGATCACGTGTCCGAGTGCTATCAATGGCAACATGGATATACAATACTGAATTCACCTAAAAAACTATTACATCACTAGGCAAAACAGTTCTTAGTACAGTTAGAACAAATATCTTTGCTAATAACATAATATTATGTACTAGCTAAGTTAGCGACTTCGTCCGCGTATAATAGTTATTTTGGTCATCCAAAATTTTTTTACAATCTGTTACCTATGTCATCGGACGCATCCCATCGCTCGCGACCCGTAGTTCTTGCGAGTTCATCTTATGAGATAGACATATACTGTCGCGGATATATTTTTTGATGATTTAAAGAATCATTCTCTTATAAATATTTTTTTGTTTATTTCGAACCATTTTTGCAGCTTACGCATCGAAAACCTACAAAGATGATAAATTTTCACCGTTTCTACCGCATTTTTCGCTGTTCGCGCCTATTAGTCACAGCGCAATGTTTTAGTTAGCCTAAATTCTTCCTCGATAATTGCTCTATCAAACAAAAATATTTTTTCAATTCGAACCGGTAGTTTCTGAGACTAGCGCGTTCAAACAAACAAACTCTTCAGCTTTATATATTAGTAGGTGTAGTGCGTAGATGACGAGTATAATTGTCAACAAATTTGATTTCGGAATAACCATAGACAACAAACAATGATGAGAATCTGTGGCTATTTTTCTGTCACTACGTATACATAGTGCACTAGTGCGCAGATTATAAAAGTGTTTATACATTTTGGCGGGTAAGTTTTAGGAAAAATATAAAAAAATTTTAGCAACGCCCCGAGAAACTACTAAGTGTTGTGTACTGCTAGTGTACTATACATTAGACAAAGACCAATAATTGCGAAGAAACAGAGGGAAATGTGTAGAGAACGGGGAAAATTATTTATCTCTTTGGGTTTCCGATGCGTACGCTGCGAAAATGGTTCAAGACACCCAAAAAATATGTTGTATAGAGTAATTCCTCTTTAAATTATCTAAAAAATGTCCGAATCACTAAATGTATTTTCAGATTAACTTGCAAAAACGACGGGACCCAAATGCGAGTGACGTGACGCGACTGGTGTCGTAGGTAATAGCTAAAATTTATAAAAAGAAGGTTTGCAAAACAAATTTAGATGTCCAAAATAACTATTCGACGCCGGCGAAGTCGCTGACATAGCTAGTAAATAGTAAAATATCGATCCCACGCGGACGAAGTCGCGAGCTTATCTAGTATTCAATAAGAGTCACAATAAAGTAAATGCAGTGTATTTAAGGAGTTTAACATAATAAAGATATCAAGATAGATTGAGGCTTGACTGTCCTTCATAGTGGGTTTGGCTTCTTTTGACAATTTATCACCCGTGTGTGACATTAGGGATATAATACCATCCATAGTCTCCTTGCAAGTCGGTAAAATCTGTTTGGGTGGCAGAGCGAATCCATAATGTCCTTGATCTCTTAACTCGAAGGTTAATACATATCTGAAATACACAACTTCAATTTCAATATTTTTACATGTTATTGCGCATAATGGCACTATATAAATTTAAAGTAGAAAAAAAATATCGGGTATCATAGGTTGAATAAGACAAAAAAACAATGGCGTGCAGGACACGGTAAATCTATTGCTTAGAGCAACAGCACGGAGTGGATGCCAGTCCAAGTCCTGCTCAGGTCGTAATTTTTTTCAATTTATAAGCGATTTTTCATCAATATAATTACAACTTTATTTTTTCTGTTGTTATTAGTAGTACAATAATATTAATGTTAACCGTTCAAAACGCGAAAGATTTTATTTTATTTAAACTATGAGTGTGCTGTCCGCCTCTGTAGCTAAATGGTTAAACGTGTTGCCTAGCATTGCGTTCAGCGCGAGAGGTCCTGGGTTCGAATCCCGGGGAAACGGGCAGGGCACAGAAGTCTGATCAACTACTTGCCTGTAAATAAAACCGATCAATGAAACGGACACAGAAATGTGTTCGCCCTATGCCCCACGAGGGTATAATGCTTATGTAATGCCTAAATACAAGAGGTGATGGCTTCAAGTCCTAGGGAAAGACTCTATGTTCGGTCGGAGAAGGAAGACAAATCATTGCCCAACCTATATATAAAAATCGGACAGTGAAATTGATAAAAATGTATCTGATCTTGCGGAGACTAAACGAGGGGCGAACGATTTAATAAGACATATATATTATGCTTTAACTTAAAATAATTTAATTAATATGATTGGTTTAAACTTACGGAACTCCAAATGATTTCTTAACCCAACAACCACTGACACCAGAAGTCATGTAACCTGTAATTCAAGTAAATTATAAATGTTTCGTATACTTAATAAATTTATTTAAATTGAAAACCTTGAAATCTCTCACAAATATACCTACCAACAGTATCGTATGCTGTACCGACTTCGTAGTGAGTGCCGTATCTCGCCACTATACGATCGGCTGCTTTTAGGGCCATTCGTCGCTGTGTAAAATAAATTAATATAATTCAATTGAAATTAATTACTTTGAAGACAATTAAATGACGAGAAATGTGTTACCTAAACTTATTTACAAGTTAATATAATTTAATTAATTCTGTAAGGCTTTCACGGCCATCGTTCGGAGAATTCTTCGAGTAATCGAGGAATAACATATCCTGATGATACTACAAACTTATTTACAAACTATTTTAAGTATATTTTGCAAATAAGTTTAACTAATACATGTCGCGTTTTAAACCATTATATGTGTTTTTTTTAGTCTAATAATCTACTCGCGTAAAATACAGACAGTAGAATTACTACGAGTTAAATCGGAGACGCGCCATTGCAAGCTACTTATATTAGTATTTAACCACGAATATAAAACTTACCACAGTATTATAATTGCCACTGTGCACTTTGGAATGTGTATAAGGTATTATCATATATTGACCATACGAATGGAAGGCCAGGTAGTATTTTAGATTGTCATGATTTTCTTGTACAAAATTCGCCATGGCTTTCGATTCTGGCTCGGAGAAGGCGTATGGTCCACAGTAAGTCTCGCTGTTTTTGACACTGCTTACTCCGACCGCTGTAAATGGTATTTTTAGAAAGATCATTAAACCCGAGAATATAAACAAATATTTAAGGGATCAAAACCTTTTTGTAAATTTAAAAAGGTTTTGATCCCTTAAATAAAGCTCTCCGTTCTAACTGTTATCATCAAAATGGCGTCGAGACATTCTCAAAATGGCGAAACAAGCAACGAAAATAGTTTTAAACGAAAATCATTATATAACCAAATTTACTTGCTTTAATCTTAGTAACAATTATCAACATAGTTTTAAAGAATAACTGAACTTGATTCTCTTACTTACTTCCAAAAGCGATTCCAAAATTCCTGTTCAAATCCACCTGATTCATGTTTTTCCTATGCATGCGATCCTATAAGACCGATTAAACTTATTAAATATACAATATATAACATTTTAAAACGGATTCTGTTGCGAATCCTATGTCCGTTCCGTGCGGATGTTTTTTTTATGGTAATGATTAACTATTTTGCACCAAACAAAAGGAATTTATCTTGTTCCCTCTAAACTCGAACTTAGGTTCTCTAGCTTAACGCAATGCAAGGAATGCGTTTTACAACTTACAAACGCTACAAGCCACGAATGTTTGGTCATGTGTGTATTTTCGTTTCGGGGCTGTTACGATTGATTTCATTTCAAACGTAGTATATTAGACGTCTGCAATATCTATTTAAATAAAACACCTTTAATGGTTTAAAATGCGAAATGTTTTAGTTAACATGTTAGATACAAATTATTTACCCATGTTAAAAGAGTTTTATTTACATGTGTACGTCAACAACAGATCTTTTAAACCCGCTATATACCTACATAAGTAATTCTAATGGTAGCAACTAACCATGGTGTGCGTATAGTCATACCCGTCAGGGTTCAAGACTGGCACAAAGTACCATTGATAGGACTCAGCTATCGTCTTCAGGGTGCTGTTTTCACTAACAGCTGTCAAGATCTGATAGAGGAAGTAGGTGACGAACGCCGGTGCAATCCACTCCCGCGCATGGATACCGCCTTCGACTATTATCTTGTTCCTGCGTTTTCATTACAATATACCGACAAAGATTAGAGTACGTTTCGCGTTTGATATGTATATTAAATGTTTAAAGAAAACACTTTAACCAATTAAAACGGGAAATATATTGTTTGCAGTTTCCCCGTGATCACGGCTGCTGTAAAGCATCAGAAATGTCGGGCCGTTGTTAAAATAATTTTCAGATAAGTTTAACTAACATATTTTGCGTTTTAAACCGTTAGTGTATTATTTAAATGTGTGCTACGCTCGCGTGAACTACAGACAGTATTTATGTTATATATTATTTAGTCTCAGTTTAAGTCACACTTTTGTTTCGATCATTCAAGAGATATTTTAAATTAGATTTCAGTAAGTATTTCAGACTTATAAAAATTATATCAACGTAAAGTTAGAAGAAAGTATAAATGAACTTTAGTCCATGTTTTGCACATTCTGTTTTAGTACAACCCTAATGTCTTCATAATAAGCTTCAGATAATTGAGACTGACTACTTTAATTGATATAACGGGTGTATTTGCTTATTGGCCTGGGTTGTGGGTTCGGTCTAGACCGGATCCAACAAGTCTCTTATCCACAATCAAATAGGGTTGGACTTCGTCTAGAAATCTGGATATATAATGATGGGTGGCTATGAGGTGATATCGAAAATTCCGCCCACAGATGAAAAAGCCGTGAACTGTAATCGCAGTTCGGTTTCAATCTGTGGTTTTCCGAATATCCAAAGCCAAAAAAGGTCGTCGGGGCATCTTGTTGCTGAGGTATTTCGCATACCCTAGAGTTAACCCAAAGCTTGCCTGTTCTTCTCTTTCATAGAAAAATAACTTAATAAATAGTATTCATACCTCTTAGATTTGTGAGCTATCCTGACTGCCAAAATATCTCTCTTCTGCACCGACTTTCCGATCGTTTTCACCTGCATTATCTTAGGATATTTCGTCTCCAGGTCCCAAAGCCACGCGTAAATGTCTTGGAGACGAAAGAAACTGGTCCAGTCAAACGAATCCATGTTGCGGCGAATGTATGACTTGACTGTTTGCTTATCAAGAGCTCTGTAAAGGTGGTATCACTGCTTACATAGTGAAATTCCGTTTACCCGCTTAGACCGAACATATTTCTATGTCTGTTTCATTTAACGGTTTTATTTACAGGTAGTAGATGACCCTGTTCGAATTTCAATCCAAGCCCTCTTGCGCTGAACGCAATGCGAGACAATACATTTAATCATTTAACTATACAGGCAGTCTCTGCTCATATAAAGAATACATTCTATAGATACAAATTTACTAAGTATATTGATTACATTCTTTTTGGCTAAAAGTAATATACGCAAAAATCAAATTTTAAAAAGAGTTATTTAATAACAAAAGGGAATATATGCTTTAAAACCTTACGTCCCCCACGTCGTCTCTTAGACTCACCACAACAACTAAGCACATAAAATGTGATATAATAATACTTCGATCTAGAATACCTGGACGAATCCTAATGTGGAGGTATGCAATTATTTTTTATTCATTAACTTAAACTTTCCTCTCTATTTGTCTTTTGCGTGAAAAGGAAAATGTCTGAACAAAAACAACTTATCTTGGTTCTTTTGACCCAATTCAATTAAAATATCAAATAACACTTGTAAACTTTACGGACATAAAAAATCATTAGTGTATTACAAGGAAATATAACAAAAGCCAAGAACAATAATTGACTGAGACCTTATATATCACAATAACTTTTGATTTCGTTTAGATACCCTGCCCTTAATACCTATATATTAACAAATTTTATTTATAAATATATTTTTTATACAGTTTCGTAATTGAGACTATTGTTGTTGTGTTTGTATTGTCTGTCATTTTAAGCAGGAGAGGTACTTTTTATTTAAATGAAACGCATTTAACGGTTTAAAACGAGACATATCTTCTATATACTTATTTACTATTTATCGTGACCCTTTGACAACGCCAGTTACAAAGCATCCCAAACGTCGGGCCGTAAAAATTAATTCCAAAATAAATGACATAATATTTCGCGTTTTAAACTGTTAGATGTTTTATTTGCAAACTTTCTGTTCTATGCAAAATTGTATTCCGACTTATTCGATATATGAACAGTGCTCCGTTTTACTCATGTCGTGTGTTCGAGGTGCTGTACTTACCTTTGAACATCCTCCATAAGAGTGGTATAATATACGCCATTTGAATCAGCCCTCCTCATGAAATCCTTCCTGTTACTTGGTGCTATTATGAATTCAACGGGCCTGTGAGGCAGCCCCGGTAATCTCCAGTAATTAACTTTATAAACATCGCTTAAATTTTGAAAGAACCTCACATGGTCTTCACTAACGGGGATACCGCGTATGAGTGAATAATTTTTATATTTCTTCGTGCTCGTATTACAATCCATTGTATATACATATAAGAAAATTGTTAGTAGAAATAAAAATCTCAACATTTTATTCTATTTTTCTTTTCTCGACCTCGCTGATTTCATTGTGTCAAATTACAAGGACGGCGTTATCAATGCGCGCCATAGATAATGAAACTGCTGTCTTGTATGACAAAGCCAAATTGGGAGTTCTTATATTATTAACTTTTTTACCATAGCCACCAAAAGTTATTTATTTTAATATTATAATCAAACGTACAAAAATTTAAATATCTTCTTACAAATTCCTAAATAATTTGCCATGCCCCTCGTGGGTTCGTGGTTCCCATCGTTCGAGGGTTCTTCTGGTTGGAATAATTATTTTGAACATCAAAATTTGTTTTATGCAAACCTCCTCTTCATCTTTATAAATATTAGCTATTACCCACGACGTCGATCGTGTTCCGTCGTTCTTGCAAGTTAACCTTAATTAATAATTTAAGGGAGAAATCATTTCATCCTATATATTTCTTTGGTTTCTCGAACCGTTTCCGGAGCATACTCAATGGAAGAGAGCTCAAATGTGAATTATAGTCCCCGTTTTTCTTGATCTTTTACTATTTCTCTCTCATACTAGTTGTAGTGTTATGTTTTATAGCCTAAAGGCTTCCTCGATAAATGCTCTAACCATCAGAAAGTAAAGGGATTGGAACCAATCTCCCACCTCTTTACGATTTACCATTACATAATGAAGGCGAGCAAGGGTAACTACGTATTAATGAAAAAAAACAATCACAATAACAATATATAATTAAATATATAAAAAATGTTCAAAATAACACAGAGTTGTAAACGTGACGCTGCACTGAATAATATTGGCGCGACGCGCTTGTGTCGGGCTGTCATCAGTTCCGTCAACCCCAACAGGGTTTCCTGACAGGTTGGTAGTATCTGATCAGCTGGCAGGGCGTATCCATATGTTCCATTGTCGCGGAGGAGAAACGTCATTGCGTACCTGGATATACATTTAGTTTTTTTAGACTAAATAATTGCTGACCTGGCAAATGTTTTATTTGCTAAATCTTGACGAAATTTATACCTATAAAAACGATCCTTGTGAGTTAATCTTAAAAGATAGACATATGCTACCGACATTTATTTTTACATAATATAAAGAGGAATCATTCTATCAAACATTTTTTTAGTTTTTGGACCGTTTTTGCAGTGAACGCAACGGAAGATTGATGTTTTTAGCCTTAGAAAGCCTTTTTAGATTTTTTTTAAATCGACCCAGTAGTTCCTGAGATTATAACCGCTTAAACAAGTTATTCAGCTTCATAATATGAGCATATATTAATAAAAACTACTCTAAGCACTACGCGTATGAAAATTTATAAATAAAAAAATGGATTCTAACTTAATTCTGTGAGTTTTCTTCGCCCAAGATGCACTGTCACCGGACACTTTATATCCTGAAAAATCAAATGAAAAACTAAAAAACGTGCGAAATGTATTTTTCAAACCTAACAATAGACAATTTGTAAGGGCCATAATGCTATACATGTCGAATAAATTGTAAAATGGTAAAATGTAAAAAAACGCATATTATTAAGAAATAAATATATGTTTTATTTTTTAACATATATTCAGAATTGTAAAGAAGAATAAATTATAATTCCTAAGTCTGAACGATTTGGTAAAAAACATTTATATTATGGTATGGTTATGAATGAAATATCAAAAATCTATATAAATTCAACCGCCTCTGTAGCCAAATGGTTAAACGTAATAGCTAGCGAAGAGGTCCTGGGTTCGAATCCCAGGAAAACAAAAATTGTTCCGGTCGGGCAGGGCACAGAAGTCCGATCAACTTTTGCCTGTTAAAGAACGGATCAGTGAAACGGGCACAAAAAAAGTGTTGCCTGCCCCACGAGGGGGAAACGGGATTTCACACACATATAAATTTAAAATCGATTATAAATTGAAAGAAATGAAATTATAATCCAGAAATTTACAATTTGAACAGGCGTTCTAAGCTTCTGTGTATTGCTCGATTCGTTAGAGCAACAGTATGGAACGTTGACTTCGGTTTAAGTCTTGCCCGAGTCGTAATTTTTTTCAACTTATAATCGATTTTTAATTTATATAGTGCCATCATGTGTATTGCACATGTGTAAAGTTTTTAAATATCAAAAACTTATTGAATTCGCCTTACACTTAGCCAAACATTATCTACTCACCAAGGGTGTCGTATATAGTACCGATGCTGTATTTGACTCCGTTCAATTTGTACATTTTCAATATTGCTTGTTTCCCATAATTTTCCTGAAACGTGATTTGAATTTCAAAAATTACATGAATATTCCGATCGGGTGCCAAGACAAGTCGGCGTTTTGATTTTCTTGGGAGAAAAAAATATTTGCGTTGCTGATTTCCAATTTAGCTGGGGTAACTCTTGGTGTAAAATCGGTTTTAGAGGATTTTATTGATTGGTGACGCCATTTTAAAAATGTCGCGGCGTGACATTTTTTATTACTTGTAATTACCCTCTACACTTTCAAAAATGTTTCAATAAAATAAAGGGATGATTTTGTTTATGATACAGGAGATTAGACAAGCCTTAGGTTCATTTTCACCAGGGGCAATTCGGTTGATCTATTTTGGCTTTGGATATTTTTACGGGCTTCTTGGTTTAATGGCAGCAGTGGCTTATATTTAACGTTTAGTGGGTGCTATCCCCTCCGGCTCTAACATTTTTATAAATATTTATAATTTTCCAGAAACATATTGGATTTGTCTGGAAATAAGGACGTTTATATAAAACACATTTAACGGTTTGAAATAGATTTGTTACGTTTGAAAACTTTAATATTTTTTACATGTTATTGTAGGCACTTTATAATTTAAAATTTTAAAATAAATTGAAAAAAATTGGGACCACTCGGTAGCTCAATTGGTAGAGCAACAGCACGGAACGCCTACGATGCCGGTTCAAGTCCTGCCCGAGTCGAAATTGTTTTCAATTTATTTCCGATTTTTAAATTATGAATTAACATTTTTAACTGTGAACCGATCACGTCTCTATCGAGACCCCTGGTGACCAATGCTGCTGCAAATATTCGAAGCTCGTAATAAATAATTATGTTTTAAACCGATAAAAGTGTTGAATTTACGTGTCTACAACTCGCGTATACTACAGGAAATTCTTAACACAATGTTTTCTGTAAACATATGAAGCAAACTTAACATTAATTGTATTAAGTAAGCAACATTCGTTGCAAGCGACGAACAAACACACATTGTTAACAGACATAAATTATGTCCATAAATTGCAACTTGAGGAATCTTCCACATGACAGCGGTGAATAAATCTTTTGTATTGTTTGAGTTGCATCAACAGCAAAGCTATGCGAGATTGTTGAATTAGAACGACAGTTTAATTACGTTAGCATATACGATCCATCTATGCACGAGAACATATACAAAAGATTATATTTAACTGACCGAACCGCCCCTTCGGTGGTTTATAGTTTATACACTCGACTGCCGATCACGAAGACCCGGGATCGAAACCCGAGACAGGCGAAATATTAGTTCGATATAAAAAAAAATCTAGGTAAATTTCCAGCCAGAATTCGGGGAACACGTTATACTACCGTTTATATATAATTATTAAACACATTTAATTTAATTGTCATAGGTAATTTAAAGGCGTTAAAGCATGTTAACTAGCTCTAAAGCCGCGTGGTGGGGCGAAACTATTACCTATAAAAGAGCTGACCTGTTCCCAGCTGTTCTAAATTAAAACGAATCATACAACCCGTCTCCATTGTAAACGCGTGTGCGTTGTTGGAGGTCTTTAATAGGTCAATTTGGCATATTGTACATTGGCATATTGTACATTGCTAAAAAACAATACCCTTTTTTTTCCCCCAAAAAAAAAAAAAAAAAAAAAAAAAAAAAAAAAAAAAAAAAAGGAAAAAAAAAAAAAAAAAAAAAAAAAAAAAACCCAACCCCCCCCCCCTTCCCCCCCAAAAAAAAAAAAAAAACCCCCCCCCGGGGGGGGGGGGGGGGGGGGGGGGGGGGGGGGGGAAAAAAAAAAAAACCCCCCCCCCGGGGAAAAAAAAAAAAAAAAAGGGGAGAAAAAAAAAAAAAAAAAAGGAAAAAATTTTCCCCCCCCCCCCCCAAAAAAAAAAGGGGGGGGTTTTTTTTTCCTCCCCCCCAAAAAAAAAAAAAAAAAAAAAAAAAAAAAAAAAAAAAACCCCCCCCTTTTGAAAAAAAAAAAAAAAAGGGTTATTTTAAAGGAGGGAAAAAAAAAAAAAAAAAAAAAAAAAAAAAAAAAAAAAAAGGAAAATCCCCCCTTTCGCCCCAAAAAAAAAAAAAAAAAAAGGGGGGAACAAAAAAAGAAGTTTTTTAAAAAAAAATTAAAACAACAAAAAAAAAAAAAAAAAAAAAAAACAAACAACAACACCGATTTCAATTTATAAATAAAGTGAAATTCTGGTTCCCATATTTAGCCCTATGCCTATAGAAATATACAAATGATCATTTAGGTCAGACAGAATAAAGAATTCAAACCGAAGCTATTTATTACGTTTCCCCGTAGTTACACCCTAAAGCCTCGTAAATCGTTGAAATCTATCGTTCATGTGTGATTATTATCGACCGTCATTCGGTATAATGTAAATTATTACATTATTTAAAAAGTCCACTCTGACACCGACCTCTAACCCGATTCCCAGTTCGATTTTTTTATATCAATTACAACATCAAAGCGCTCTCACCATTTCACCGAAATTTTCAATGTGCTTGACACTGTCCGAGTACGGTATCAAGATCTTTTGTCCATAGGCATGGAAAGAGAAGTAGAAATTAAGGTCTTTCCGGTGCAGGCTGACGAAGCCGGCGATGGCCCTCGACTCAGGTTCGGAGAACTCCTTGGGCCCGCAATAGTATTCCTTCGACGGTACTTTACTACCGCCTTGTGCTAAAAAGTAATAATGTTCATTATTTTTTTCAAACGTTCACGCTAAATCGAAGCAGCGGCCGGAAATAGTGGCATAAAAGTCCATATCTGTCGTGTTAAGCGTCCAAATAAATTACTATGTAAACTAATGTTTGTCGTGTAATTTAAAAATGGAACGACCTTCAACTCCGCAACATGGCGACCAAAGAGATATCTTATCAAAGGTTGCATTCAAATTTCGAACTGGCTTTTACATAAAAAGCTTATTGGGAAAAAAAACTTTAGCGCGAAAAAATATTGTAATTGTTCGTCAACTTCGTCATTGGTTTTAAAGTTATGCATTGTATAGGTTAGTTTTAATTTCCGCGCATTATTTGAGGAAAACTATACAAGAATTGCCGGCAACTAGGCATTGATAGACTTACATTCACACGTTCTTTCATCAGTGTCTTTGTACTATTAATACAAAAAAAAAAGGTTTTGTTAAGTAAACGAAAAGTTATAACTTGAAGTTAAAATGAAGAAATGCTAATAAACTTTACTAAAGAAAGGTTTTCGTTTAGAAACCAGTAGTTTTTATATCTTGTACTCTCGCTTTTTATTTTATAAGTCCAATATGACACTAAATAGATACTTTTAGCACAATGACTGTTGTTGTTATTTGATACCAACTTTCAACTTCCTCTGCGTGAAAAGTAACTTGGTTTCTAATTTACATTGAAATATGTAAATATAAAAGTAACGTGTATCGTAGCTACTAACTTATAAATAAACATCTGTTTTTATTCTGGTAATATGTTTCTAAATTGTTACGACGGATTTACAATTTTGGAATTAGTAACATTGCTTGGTGGCTTAATATTACGATTACATAAAATATTGCGTAACTCTTGTTCCATTATAAAACCTTTTAATATCAAACAGACAAACTTCATTTGTTTCTTAACTGTAGTGTAGATTTTTGGCACTAAATAAAGAAAATCCAGGCAGGTATAAATTTTATAACTTACTGCAAAAACTGTAGTCAAAATTTCTATTCAAATCAACTCCCAGAGTAATATTGTTCGAAACGTGTCTATTGTTACGCCACAGACGATCCTGAACAAAAAAGCAATGAAAAAAGCGTTCAAAATTATTTGTGTTAAATGTAATACAAAGAATTTTGAACAGAAATTTAACTCCCGAACGAGTACTAAATACTCGTTCGGGGGTTAAATTAAAAATATATATATATATTGGCATTAAAACTTGTCTGGTAAATACTCTATTGAGAATATTTAATAAACTACCTCCTTTACAAACCACCTCCGAAGTTTAAGCACAAGAGGTCCTGGGGTCTGAAGTTTGATCAACTATTGCTTACAAACCAACTCGATTACTAAAACAGAAATGTGTCCCTTCATATCAGCAGGGAAAACAGGATTTTTTCTTATTTTACCTTCTCTATGGTATCGCTGAGTGACGACGTTTAAAAGTAAAACTGGAATAATAAATGTCAATACTTACATCTTTCATACTATAAGCATAGCCATCTGGATTAGCAACTGGTATCAATAGCCAATGAAATTTCCTCGCCACACGCTTCAATTTACTGTCCTGCGATTTCTCGGCTCGTATCAGCTGATTTGCCAGATAAGTCACAAATTCCACCGCTACCCATTCATTACCGTGCAACGCGGCTTCGACTATCACTTTCGCTCGAGAACTGGGGCTTTTGATGCTCAAAGCCAAAATCTCTCTGCCCTCACCGGTTTTGCCGATGTCCTTCAATTTGACGATTTTGGGATATTTAACTGCGACATCGGCCATCCACTGGTAAATGTCTTCGAGGGTGTGATAACTATCCCAACTATAGGAATCGACTTTCAACCTTAAGTATTGTCGTATTAATTGCTGATCGAATTGTCTGGAAATAACAAATTACTTTTCAATGACAGACGAGAACAGACAAGCATAATAAATTGCGTTAGGCCATCGTTCAGCATATTATTGTTTTTCGGGCTGTTCCGCCGACGTGAGAGAGAAGATGTTCATCATGTGCGGACCTCCTGATGATGCCATCAGGAGATTTTAACAATAATATACAGACATAAAATGTTTGCAAACTTTAATCTTTTTCATATGTTATTCACATGCCCATGATGACACTATATGAATTAAAAATCGATTACAAAATCCAATTGAACTATTGCAACCAATTGAGCTACTGAGTCAATTGGTTAGAGCAACAGAGCAACAGCACGGAACGCTGTGGATGTTTCAAGTCCTGCTCGAGTCGTTTTTTTTTGTTTCTATTTATAATCGAGTTTTAATTCAGACATGCATGTTTTTAATTTAATGTCATGTGTAATATCCCAGTTAATAACATTTTGGACATTCGGAAATCCATAGACCGAAATGAAAACGCGATCAAATTTCGCGGCTTCAGAAATTTAATTATCCTACCACCCATTTATACCTATCCAGATTTCCAGACGAAGTCCACGTTTCGGAAATTATAAATTTATTACAAACATATTAAATCCGGTGGGGATCAAACCCACGACCCTCTATCAATAGCCAATGCTTCGTTTATATAACGTTTTCATTTCATTTATACAAGATATATTCCTAATTTGCAAAAGCTGAGTCTCTCAGTAAACCAAATTTTCAGTATTATTTAATATTTATGAAGCTTTTAGTCTACAAACATAATAAACATCTAAGTCACCTCTTTCCATTAAGTTTGTCGTTTGTGAATAACTTTAATAACAATGATAAGTTAAATTATTTTATGGAACGTCTGCTGTAAAGATTAATATTTAATACTGAATATTGAATATAAAACCTTCAACCACAACTACAATAAATGGGAATTTTAGCCTTCATTGGACAATAGATTTTAACATTATTTTTTTTTAATTTGCAATGTTTTATAAACTTATATATAAGGATAATAGCAATGAGTTTAATATTATTGTTTAAAGTCAATTTTAGAATGACCAAAATTGATGACTGTTTCAATGGGAAATAGATTTTTATTTTATGTGCTCACATATATGTGTGTGGAGTGTTAAATGATGTGTGAAAATAATGTTTCCAGCATCAAATAGAATAAATATATTGACTAAACCCTGGATTAAACATGCTTTTTTCGACAAGACTTTTTTTTTTAAATTTCTTCATAGTATATAATATTCGTAAAAATATTAATCGAATTAATTGAATTTCGAATTGAAATAATAATCGTTATATCAAGTTTAGTCAATCACTGTTTATAGTTTACGCGAGTAAATCCCTTTTACTTATTTAACTAAGACAGTTAAAACTTATTTATAAATTATTTCTGTACGGCCGACGTTTCGGATGCTTTGAAGCAGCCGTGGTCACGCTTAAAAGTGTTTAGTCAAACTTAGTTCTATAGAGTTTCAACAATAAGAATACATACTGTTGAATATTTTCGGACAGAACTCTTGAATTCATGCCAAAGTGCACTAATCTCTCTTTGAATAAACCCAAATCCATTGGGTTCACAAGTACTTGGATGTCCGTGTACAGCTTAAACGGACGCCTCCAGAACATTACGTCCATATACTTTTGTGTCTCTAAATTTTGCAGGAACTTAATTTGAAAACGCTCCGTCGCAACAAGGTTGTACAAACTATAGTTATCATATCTCTTGCTTTTGCTGAACCCAATAAGAATAAGAAACCAAGCCAAGAAATGTATATTCATTTTTGATCCAATTTTGATGTCGTATGTCTTTTTTTGACAGCTACTTTCATGTTAGATACGGTAAGGTCATACTTCTAGGAGATAATTTTTGCAAAGAGGATTACAAGCCTGCTAAACTATTCATCTGAGAGATCGTCGCCAGAAGTAACGCGTAACGCGCTTCGTAACGATATATTTTGCGCCACGCCTTTGTCGAACGAATAATCGAAAAAAAAATTTTTTTTTATTTGATTAAATTTAATTATAAAACAAACCTTGACAGACTCGGTGGTGTAATGAAAGCAATGTACGGTGTAATAATAGTTAACAGATCGTGGGTTCGATGCCCACCAGGTCTAACATGTTTCTAATTAATTTATAATGTTTCTGAAAGTGATTGTTGGACTTCGTCTGGAAATCTAGATATTAAGTACATGGTAAGAATACTGTCTATAGTTTACGCGAGTAGTACACATTTAAATAAAACACTTTAACGGTTTAAAACGCGATATATTAGTTAAACTTATTTGAAAATGATTTATAACTTCGGCCCGACGTTAAAGATGGAGAATGTCTCTGACGTCAAAGTAAAAAAATTGCTACGCTAGCGCCATGTGTTCCGTCGAAGTTGGTATTTGGCAAAACTGGCCGGGTCCTTACAGAATTGACTAACGGTGTCTTCGCGTTTGCCGGTATGCTGTTTATTGGGATCCAGAGTTTTTAATAACTGAAATTCAACTTCAAATAAGTTTAACTAATATATCGCGTTTTAAACCGTTAAAGTTTTTTATTTAAATACGTGGTAAGAATCAAAATTCCGCCACGCTCACAAACCAGCATCCACAGATGAAAATGCCGTTTCAGTTTTAGTCTACAAAACAGACACAGACTACAAATTTTCTTTTTAGAATATACAAAGCCAAAGTATGGCGATACTGCATCTTGGTTGAGACGTTACATGGCTGGGCTATTTTACTTTCCATCAAGCTTATCTGGCCTCTTGTATCAGAAAAAAAAACGATTAGATAACGGCATATTTCATAGATTTATCGCATGCCTTGCAAAAGAATAATCGAAATATAATTGCAAATAATTGAAGGAAAAGTTATCTATAAAACATAAATATTACAAAAATACACGAATATTGTGATCTCTGTTTTACGCAATGATAAACAATAAATAATCAAATCCAAAATACACTATACTAGCTGTTCCCGCGACTTTGTCCGCGTGGTTTCATATTTTTTATTTTTGCGAGTAACGTCCTCAGCTTTATAAAAAAACTAAGGCAATGAGTTAATCTTAAAAGATAGACCTATATACGTCGCGGATATCTTTTTAATAGTTTGAAGAGGATCATTATACACAGTTTTGGTTTGTTGATCGTTAAAAAAAAAAAAAAAAAAAAAAAAAAAGGGAAAAAAAAAAAAAAAAAAAAAAAAAAGGGGGAAAAAAAATTTTATCCCCCCCCCCCCCCCCCCGGGGCCTCCCCGCGCCCCGGGCCCGGGGGGGGAAAAAAGGGGGGGGGGGCCCCAGCCGCAAAAAAAAAAAATTGCTCCCCCGGCCCCCCCTTTTCCGCCGAAGTTGGTTTTTGGCGAAACTGGCCGGGTCCTTACAGAATGTTGACGTTTTCACAAAACAGAAAGATAAATAGTTTTCCCCGTTTTTCTCCACTTTCCACTGTTTTACCGCTCCTATTGATTGCAGCGTAGTATTGATGTAGCCTAAAGCCTTCCTGGATATATGGTCTATCAAAAAAAAAATTCAATTCGAACCATTAGTAAATAAGATTAGCGCGTTCAAATAAACAAACTGTTCAACTTTATAATATTAATACTAATATAATTTATACAGATTAGATAAAATATGCCAAGAATGAATCTAAAGAATGTTATAAGTGTACCTATATGTGACACGTATATGGTGCATACGGAAGTTGTTTTTAACGTGACAACGTCTTATAATTCGATAGAGCCGTACAATCACTAAAAAATGACTATGGTTACCGCTCTGAGGCGTTCCATGTAAGGCTTGAAGTGCAAGCGAGAGCGCGGAACGAGCGACAAAGAAGCACAATCGGCCTTTGCGTTCGGCAGCGTTCGACATCCGTCTCTCTCAACGCACATTTATACTTATAAAACTGTTAAAAAAATTGACATAATTGTATTTATGCGTACAAATAAATGTAACTTGTTAAATTTCATTGTGATTTCCAATTACATCCTTCTCTATACGTACAAATCTATTAAACAAATGAAATTAAAATCTTCTTTTGAAAAATGCTACCATTCCATCAGTATTTTCTTAAGACGTTGTCACGTTCAACTATCGTGAGTAAACCGACTTTACAGACAACCAATTTTTTTTTTATTAACTTACATCGATAATAGTTGAATTAAAAAATACTATACGCACTTTATCTTTGACTGCCTCTGTAGCTAAATAGTTAAACGTGTTACCTAGCATTGTTTTAACTGCGAGAGGTCCTTGGTTCGAATCCTGGGACTAGATTGTTTCGGTAGGTCAGGGCACAGGAGTCTGATTAATTACTTGCCCGTGTTAAAATTTATTTATTACCTTTTAGGAGAATTGTTGTTGACACACATCATAGGTCCAAATGTAATAATTACTTTTTTTTTACAACTGTGTCAAAGTAAGATGGATGTGCAGATCACGGTCAGTGGGTCCTTTATAATGAGTTAGGATATAGGGACCATAAATTAAGACCTCTGTCAAGAGAATATATGCGCGACACTGCTGAATTGGGTTAAATCCAACAAGATTGCGTAATATGTCTAAGCAGAACGACGACCGCTCGTAAGTGTAATGGTAGCGATGACTGATAACCAACAGATCTTGGGTTCGATCCCTGCCGGGTTCAATATGTTTCTAATCAATTTCTAATTTTTCTAAAACGTATTAGACTTCGTCTATATATCTGGATATTGAATGGGTAATAGGAATATCGAAATTCAGTCCGGGTCACGAATCACCTTCTACTGATTAAAAAATCAAGTCAAATCGCGTTTCTGTTTCAGTCTTTGGATTTTCGAATATCCAAAGCCAAGAATGGTTTGGCAGTGCATCTTTATTACATGTTATATAGCTGGGTCTTAAAAAACATTACCCTTTTCAACCGAAATCGAACGTTAGATGCACGTTGTGGTGGTAGTTTATTACATCTATAACGTATAACGTACGTAACGCGAGAGGTGCATGTATCAATAAGTTGAAAAAGTTCGACGATGAGGTGTAGGACTCGGTAGCTCAATTGGTAGAGCAACAGCACGGAAAGCTGACGATGCCGGTTCAAGTCCTGCCCGAGTCGAAAATTTTTTCAATTTATTTTCGATTTTTAAATTATCTAATAACGTATTTCGTTTTCGTTTAAAACAGTTTAAAATTTTAATAATTTATGCACTACTCATGTAACCTATGTGATAGTAATAACATAGGTCCTTATAGAAGTTATGTTTAACAAATGTCGTTAATTAACCAAAAATTTAACTTTTTTCGGTGTCTTTATATAATAAACTTTAATAACGTCTTATAGACTTAAAGGACGCTCAAATCTCCCTTGTCTTAACAGCACAAAGGATATAACCGTCAACATTATCCAGTGAGGAACTTTTAATTTCTTCAAATTGCCTGTTAAACAGCCGAACTTCGAGATCCCATTAGGTGGCTGTCACTTAACAATGGGACAGAAGATTACGAAGTTAAATAAAAACTCTCGCCTTTTCTAATAGGAAAAGTTTTTATGTCATCGCTGTACACATCTTTTGGATCTCATCTATGAACTCGCGTATTGAGTCTGTTGGAAATTGGAAAGTAAATAACATAACATACAAAATGTATATAATTTTTATTCGATTCAAACTAGGTTGATTGGTCTGGATCAATTTAAAGCAAATATTAATAGGTACTGTAAAGACAAACGTGTTCAAACTTAGGCTGTGATTTCGTATAACATCATATCAGGCACATCCCAACGTTTTATTTATTTTTTGTGAAATAATTAACAATTAAAGAAAAAAGAGAAAAAACAATAAAAATTTAATTCATAACATAACTATAAAACTGAACATTAAAATAAACATTCATATTCCTAGCTGCTAGAACACCTCTTTTCCAACCATCTCTGTGTCAGACATTCACATTTCAACTAGTGTTTTCCTTTACATCTTAATACTGGGTTTTCTTACAGGTCTTCGGACCCTCAATACTATATACCGGGCTATAGATGTATATCATTGCTCTGTAAATTCACACAAAGATGCATTAAACATAATTTGCAACTATATTTATGTTAGGTACTTTCGTAAATAATAATGTTCTATCATTAAATAATCTGGTAGGGTAGGATAGTATAAATCAATAAATTTTTATGATAAAAAAATAATAACAAAAATAACCAAGCCTATAGCATCTAAACAAGATGCGCTGTCGCCGATTTTTCGATTGGAATTTCGATATCCCTATCACCCATTTCATATCTAGGTTTCCAGATGAACAATTCTACATGTTTCAGAAAAATTACAAATTGAAAAATTATAAACATATTGGACCGATGGGAATCGAACTCATCGACGGTCGACAACCAACGACCCCGTCAAAAGAGCTCGTTCCATCTATAAGCTAACATCGTGAATCGTCTTCAAAAATTCACTATCGATTTATTCAAACAGAACTAGTTCCCTCACTAATTACCTACGTAGTAGTTTTAAAATGGGTTCCCTTTATTTAAAATATCTAGACCGCTGACACAGTAACAAAGTCCAGCTCATTAAAAGTTGGCAGCGATGAAAACATCTGAAGAAACTGCTGTCTTCGGAACTAAGTTTTTGTGAATAATGCGAGAACTTGCTCCTTTGAACAGTCTCTGAAATTACTCTATGTACCATTTGCATACTTTTTTATCTTAAATAATGAAATTACTTGGAAAGTTTCGGAACGGATCATCGCGGTCATTTTGACAATGTCTACGTAAAATTGGGGTGTTAGTCTACTAATTAGGTCTT